TTTATCGTTAAAGCAAATATTAATAAACAATATTAAATATATCAGAACTGTGACATAGACCATTGAATGCTGGTCCCTAGATCTGGACAAAGTAAGATGCATGGTCAATTTTTTACAAAGCAGAAAAAGATTTGTGTCTGCAAATTTACAATACACTTGTAACTCGTCCATTGAGATGATCAGTATTGGAAGCAATGAGAATTATGTTTCAAATATGCTTGAATATGAAAAAAATAATCTTTTAAAGGGTGACCAGGCCTTATATGTGTATATGACAATTCTATGAGCATCGCAATTGTAGGGACATACTAAATCACACTGCTTATTACAACTGTATAGGGACATATATACCAGATCACACTGTATATCACAACTGTAGGGACATACTAGATCACACTGCATATAACAACTGTATAGGGACATATATACCAGATCACATTGTATATCACAACTGTAGGGACTTACTAGATCACGCTGTATATCACAACTGTAGGGACATATTAACCATATCTCACTGTGTCACAACTGTAGGGACATATATCCCAGATCTCACTGTATATCACAACTATAGGGACATACTAGATCACACTGCATATAACAACTGTATAGGGACATATATACCAGATCTCACTGTATATCACAATTGTAGGGACATATATACCAGATCTCATTGTATATCACAACTGTAGGGACATACTAGATCACGCTGTATATCACAACTGTAGGGACATACTAGATCACACTGTATATCACAACTGTAGGGACATACTAGATCACACTGCATATAACAACTGTATAGGGACATATATACCAGATCTCACTGTATATCACAACTGTAGGGACATACTAGATCACACTGTATATCACAACTGTAGGGACATACTAGATCACACNCACTGTATATCACAACTGTAGGGACATACCAGATCTCACTGTATATCACAACTGTAGGGACATACTAGATCTCACTGTATATCAAAACTGTAGGGACCTACTAGATCACACAGTATATCACAACTATAGGGACATACTAGATCACACTGTATATCACAACTGTAGGGACATACTAGATCTCACTGTATATCACAACTGTAGGGACATATATACCAGCTTTCACTGTATATCACAACTGTAGGGACATACTAGATCACACTGTATATCACAACTGTAGGGACCTACTAGATCACACTGTATATCACAACTGTAGGGACATACTAGATCTCACTGTATATCACAACTGTAGGGACATACTCCATTGGTGGGAAATTGTAGGACAGTATAATGTTTGTGGTTTGTAGAAAGCTTTTGTTATGATTAATTAATGAGTTTGACAGTAAGGGGGAGTTTGTAGTGGTTGTGTGCTATGTAGTAGGTTGGTTTGGCTTAGAGCTGTCGCACAACAGGTGGCAGGACCAGACTGAAATTTAGCTCGCATACTCACACCTCTTCTTTTGCTTAGGCCAAAAATATATATGGAATTGGATAAAAAAAAACCCATACATTTGTACCACAAATGCCAATCAATACATTGTATCGGTCCTGTATGGCGAGAAAATGTCACTGTCGCATCGTGGTATTAACAGCTTTTCCCTCAAAGCCAGGCTTCTAGTCCAAACCTTCGCTCATTAATGATGCTTCATACCGCAGACTCACCACTCGTCTCCACTGTCAACTTGTTTTTGCAGTGTAAGGGAAGTTGTGGATATTTTAATGAAGTGTCGGCGTGTCAAGGGCAAGCCTCTGGCATACTGTAATCATGTAGTGTCTAATTAAAGATGGTTCATCCTCAAACACCCATTACTAATTAACAGACTTAATTAAATGCCCATTTTAACCAAAACATATCTTTACCAGATTTAGAAGAATAGTTTCCAGAATTTGGTTATTGCTCAATACTTGAGTGCATGATCACCATTCAGAATTAATTGCTGAGTAAGTATTTGTTGCAATGCTTGCTAAACATTTTCGGGGGAAGGAATCTTTCATGAACATATGTAATCAACCTTTATATAATAAAATGCACAAATATTTGTTGTTTAAAAACTGCACAATATATCTTATAGAGCGGTGTAACTTCAGTGGTCCAGACACCTCCTGGTATGAGACAGTTTGAGATCAAACTTAAGAATTCCCATACCAGTGTAGCTAGTAGCAGAAAATTTTACTATGAGATTCCATACCAGTGTAAGGCTGAACAATTTACACCAAAAATATAGTACCTTCATCCCTAACGATTTCAACAGCAATAAATAATTGATGCCATTCAGTGCTTTGATTGTTCATTGAGACTGGTGCATTTGGGGTATTGCTGCCATTGCGTAAAACAGAAGCTAGTTTCTACAGATTAACCAATTATTCTTGAGATAAAAAGCCTTCAAGATAAAAGTTCCAATCTCATTTAACCCTTTCAGCACTGTAGACCATAATGGACTCATCCAGATCAATGCATGGTAGAGTCTACTAAAGTTACATAGGGGTGAAAGGGTTAAAACCCAATGATACTGCTTTAAGTCAGAGAATAATTACATATCATTATGAAATCCTGAAATCCAAAGGAGTCTGTTATGCATTTATTTAAGTTTGAAAACCAACATGTGCAAACGGACAGCAGAAGCCAGTCAGAGAATGCTGACAGGTATTTAGTCCAGTAATTAACTTTGTAGCCTAATTTACCGACAGCTTTTGATCTGAAAAAGTGGGATTATTTCAAATGCGTTTGATGCTGGTAGCTTTGTTAGATCTAAATCAAAAGGTACTGGAGCAGTGTTCAGTTGTGATCATGTTAAATTGAATGTATCTTGCAAATGAAAAATGAAAAAATTCTGGATCAACTTTGTATTGATTGATAACTTGACCTTCTATTTTATGGTAAAAATATACTTTACATCAAAGTATATTATAGATGAACACAATGACTAGCCAGTTCGGGTGTGGAAAATTTAGACATGTTTGTGTGCTGGTAAGCCCAGTTACAATGATTGGTGTCAGTGGGGTGGGTAACATGTGCCAGACCTCTCAACACGTTAACATATACAATATGATATTATGGTTTGAGAGGTAAATATTCATGTATATGTCTATAGCTGAAGGAAAAGAATACAAAACATAGTAGAAATACCTTCAGGAAGCCACAAATGTCATGGAAAAAAAAAAGCATTTGACAAATTATTGAGATCCACATACCAAAAAATAATTGACCTTATCAACTTGGTGGCTTAAAAGTAAGATCTGGTTTAAAATGAAGGAGATGAGAGAAGAAATGATTGAAAACATGAGGTTGTAAATGTGAAATAAGAGTTGGTACTTTGACTGATAATTTTTGTTTATCATTGAAAGAACAGAGATGGACATTATCTACATTATTTCATTGTACATGGTATTTGTGATAAGTAACTGACATCAGTGAATGACAATATTGCAGTTTTGGTTTGGTGATACAACAACATCACTTCATTTTATTTTTTTCGTTACGCCCAGAAAATATATTTGTCTGTGACTTCATAAGTTCATGGTTGGTTGTGAAGTCAAGAGCATTTTCCAGATCCAGAGATTAAGAACATATGAACCAATTTTATTTGGCCCTGTTAAGCGGTGTGACACAAAGTTCTCTGAACTTCTGGATTCAAATTTGAAATTACCTGCGGCACGAAACAGGAATTCATTTGCTTTCAAACCTAGTAAAACTTGAAGCAGACTGACAGGGGCTGATATTTCTGTTTTAGCACCATGTCTGAACAGTAGTATCCACATTTCCAGTCACTGACAATGTCTCTGGTAATGACATTCCACCAGAAAATAGGATGGGTGTTTATATTGTGCCTCAGAAGTAGTGATGTTACCCGGCCCACCGGTGATCATGCTCTTGTCTGTTGTCTAAAGTGTTGTTTCGCCATGTTGAAGTCATCTCTCAATGATTGGTAATGGCCTGGTTTGTTTGTCATTTGCTCCCATTTGTGCCTGCTGTCACTCCTAGTGTTTAACCTGCAAATACAGACATGATTAGATTGCAGATAATCACAGATGGACCCAGCAAGGCATTAATCTGTCACTTAGAAACCATACAATCGGTTATCATGTCAGGTTGACAATTCCAGGAATATATGGCCATTAAATTGGTTTTATTTCTTGGTCAGTTTGTGCTCTAATGTGCATAAAACATGGACCTGGAAGCAGCGCATTAGGTATCTAAGTTCCCTTTTTTGCTCAGATTGGGACTCTGATAGTCACTGACAGCGCAATCCATGTTCAGTTGCAATTTGGTATCAAATTACTGCTTAAACCATGATGAAGCCAAATAAAAGTGATGTACATGTTAGGTATCCCGTCCTGTTATTATTGTCTGCTGTTCAGGTTTTTCAGGCGATTCTACACATTTATTGAAGCCTAGATCAGTATATTTGCATGGAAACAAAGATTTACAAACTAAAGGAACCGTGTACCACTGCCAATAGCTGTAACTACTGATTTTCTGGCTTGACTACAGCTTTGATAAATCATTTCTAAAAAGAAAACCATACCTTGCGGGAATTTTATGAAAAAATAATCAGATATATGAAAAACTAATTAAGATCAAATAAACAAAATATAATCAGCAACAGCGTTGAGTGTAAAGATTCAGGGGGGCTAGACAGGTATTTAAACCCTGGACACAGGTTGTTGTACTATCAGTCTACCTAGTCAACAGATGTGTCGTCCTATCACACATGTGCTACTGTTTTATCCAAAACAAAAATAAGGGGAGGTTACTGTGTATAGAAATATCCGCAGTGCAGTGGGACAGGGATCCTAAATTACTCTATATATATACAATTTTCGCAAATACCAGTAAACACATTGTCATTTCAAGTCCTAATATTGTAACACTCTTACAGTTGATTAAAAATCATCAAAATTACACAATGATACCATGTCATAGCTAAAATTCTCATTTCAAAACAAACTTGACATTCCTGACTATACTATGTATTTCATTTGTAATATGACATGGCTTTTTGTTCCAGAGGGTACAAGGATCTCCCGGTCCACAACCATTGATGTGTTACTGAGGCATAATTTCCAAATCTCCATCAACGATGAGGTCCATCCGATCTCCCCACCTGAGTACAGTACGTATAACCTTGACCTTACTGTAAATAACCTTGAACTTTGCTATTGACCTTTTAATACTCCTCTACATACCACAGACTGTGATCAAATTTATATGGAACTCATCAGATATACACGAAACTCGGTCAAATATTTGTACTGCAAGACATAACATGACATTTGTCTGTAATTAGCGTTTTTGTGACAGTCTTGACATTTATCAATAATCTTAGACATTCGTCTTTGACATAGACATATGTTTTTGATATTTCTCAGTAACACTTGGTAAGGAAGTTTGGTATGGGTCAGTGACATTGTTATTGGATTATAGCTCTGGCATTTGTCACTAACTTCAAAATTTAACAATAACCTTGACATTTTACTTTAACATTGACATTTGTTAGAGTGACCTTCAGTCATTTCTCAGTAAGTTCCTAATATCTTTCAGTTATATCAGTATTTGTTACCTGAAATTTGTGTGTTATCTTGACATTTGTCAGTAACCCTTGAAATTATTTCAGTAATATTAACATTCAAATTTTGTAATCCTTCAAATTAAAATCTGAACAAGCAGACTTAGCAAAGTTTCTCTAATCCAATAGGGGATTTCTAAAAATGCCAAATGTATCAGAATTTAATTATAGGAAGAAAAAATATCAAACTATATTTCACAGATTCCACATCTGTTTTAGGAAGCTATTGCCCCCTAACAAGAAGAGTACATAATAGTATTCATCTGGTTAAATCCAATCTTTGGATCATAATTATACCCCCAACGTGAAGTAGCATGGGCTTTAATGGTTCCATCTTGTCTGCCTGTTTGTTGGTAGACTGCTGATGATTGTAACTGCTAAACATGGTGGAGGTGGAGATGTCATAAATGTGTTCATGTTTTGGAGCATTGCATCAAGGTTGCTGTCACCGTAAAAATATAAGTTTTGTCCTCACTCCGAAAGACCCTTTTCTGATAACGTATTGTCATTCTTTTTCTCATTACAAGTAAGTTATAATCAGGCAGCTGGCTTTAAAGTGAACTGTGCCGAATTTTCTGGTCCTACATAGTAAGCAATTACCAAAGAACCCTAACATTCTAGGATATGTTAAAATCATTATGTTTATAAAAGTATTTGTGTACTGTTGATCTTCCTGCTTCGTGTTAAACAGGCTTTGAGCTGCTGTATGTATGTGTGTATATGCTTCAGAAGACAGCTGGTAGATTGTAAGTGTGCCTGGTGGCTACTGTACACACACTTACTTGACAGGAGATATACCTACCTTTAGTCTACAGTAATTAGTGTCCCACATGTTTCCAATAAGTGGCAGATGATGTCACCTGGTAGATACATGTATGGCTGTACAGATGATATTCTAGTTCTGGTACTTAAATACTTTTATTATAGTATGTCACTTTTTTATGTAAATGAGTTATATCCAATCAAAGTGAAAGGATATATTTTTTGTCACTGGAATATTAGATATGATGACTAGAACAAAAGTGCAATGAAAACTCTAATATGCAAGGGGAGTTTCTAACAGTCACTTTGTCTGTTCATCCATCGGTTTAGAGCTTGTCAGACAATCAATAATGAACTGCTGAAAATCATTTTGTGAAACTTTATAGATATATATGCGCCACTACATTTGTATAAAGATACGGAAGATGGGAGGGTCGATGTCACTTTGGAAAACATAACAAAAGAAAAGGATCTAGGAATTATTACGGACAATCACCTAAATTTCAGCGATCATATCCACGAATCGGTCAATAAAGCAAACAGAATAATGGGAACTATCCGAAGAACTTACACATATTTAGACAATACAACATTCTGTCTTTTGTATAAAGCGCTTGTAAGACCGCACCTGGAATACGGGGCCAGCGTATGGAATCCATACCTACAAAAACACATAAATGAACTGGAAAATGTACAAAGAAGAGCGACTAAACAAATACCGGGAATGAAGGAGTTGAACTATGATCACAGATTAAGGATATTAAAACTACCAACACTCAAGCATAGAAGACTGCGAGGAGACATGGTTCAAGTGTACAAACTAACTCACGGAGGATACGATAATGTGGTCAGCGAAGGATTTTGATGCCTAAATAATAACAAAAGAACAAGAGGCCACAGTCTCACACTACTAAAGGGGATGTGCAGGTTGAACTTAAGTAAATATGTTTTTAAAGAACGTATTGTAAACCACTGGAACTCCCTCCCCGATACTGTCGTCACCTCACCAACAATCAAAACATTGGAGTCCCGTCTGGATAAGTATTGGGGACAACCTGATTGTTTCTATAACCATGAGATAGACAATAATGAACTTATTCATTGCCGGGACGTCAGCATAGTGTCTGACGATATTCCAGATCTGGATATATAGGCATATTGCATGCGTCCAGTATTATTATTATTATTATTATTATATGAATATGAAAGGACAGTGTGTTTTAAACCACACATAGGTCTCTGTTCCTAAGGTTACCTAACAAACTAGGAGTCATACAAAGAACATATCACTATGACCCTTATCCAGACCTAAAATACTGAACCAATTATCATTACATCAACATTTTAGATGAAAACATTATGACAAAACTTTGTCACATACTACTGAAAGACAAGGCCACAGCAAAGTTCAAGTTGAAATTACTGTTATGCTTATCTGGGCTGCAACTGCTGAAACAGTAAATAGTGTTTGATGAAACTTTATTATTACAATTATTGTGACAAGATCAGGGTTGTTTATTTAGTGTCTAGGTCATAGCGAGGGGTCAAATCAGTGCAGTACTTGTCCAGATCACTGCAATGCTTGTTTTGACTTACTATTTAACTTCAGACCATTATTTGATAAAACTTCATCAGCATGATTATTATGTTCTGAAACCACACAAAAAATGTCCAGTATTTTCAAGGTCAAATTAAAAGGGGTAGCAAGGGTTATTTTATTCCAAATATTCCTAAGCCCTAAACAGTCTTTAGGTGTCTCCGTAGCAATGATCACTAAGGTGTACAGCTGATACTACCATGTGTAATCAAGTGCACACTTCAGACCACTCACTATCCTAAGAATTTTGGTTCAATCCCAAGTGGTGGTGGGAAATGGAGTGATGTCTGATAGGGTTTGTTGTTATACATCGATGACACAGTGGTTCCCCATGAACTTTCCTCCACCTTTTGTTTTCTTAGAGGCCTCACGATAAAACATCTCCAGAGCTGTTATGTTTGTTGTTTACAATGTACATCTTGATAAATAAAGTTTATTTTTATTTTTTGAACTACATGTATTGAACATTTAGTGGAACATCCTCATATGACTTGAGCTGTTGTTTTGTCATAAAACTCCAAACGATCCAAACCAGATCCAAACCAAATTGAAGGAATGTGAATTATAACCCTAGGGTATGTTGTATAGTGCACAGAGATGTTTGTGGCAAAAATCAAGGATCATGAATCTTCATTGATGCACAGTGTGTCGCACGTCACCATCAAGGTCAAATACTTGGTAGGGGTAGAGTTCACTGTTTAATTACTTCATAAATCTAATAAACTCCTGTTTTCCTGGAACACTCACTAATTCTTATGTCTTTAGAGTAAACTCATAAATTGATGTTTGTCTGGAAATCCTTTTTCTGGAATTGGATGATCTAAATTTCTCCACATTAACAAAGTTACATGAACCTTAATTGTATGCAGTTGAAGCATTAGGACATTAGAGGTGGTGTTCCAAAGGGAATTTTGATTGAATGTTTAAAATCAGGTCCTTTTTCCCCCAAAAAAGATGTGTGTTCATTTCCACAATATTTGACATATGTTGAAGCTAATATTCCTAAACAGACAAACATCATAGATTGATGTCATGCCTCATTGACACCGGAATGTTCGTATTTGTCCAATGTTTTTGCCAGTCTACACGACCATTGTGCAGGAACGGTTAACTGCACCAGAGGGGGCGAATGTGTTCTATTGCATTATTGATGAGCACTCTAAGACTGGAGCAGAATGTCATTTATATGCAAATATATTTATAGAACAGGAATACTAAAACCTCAGCCTTTTATAGAGAAGACAGTTGTATTATTGCTCTTTAGGTATACTGGCTTATGTATCACAGGACACTTGGTTGATTTGAAGTATGACAGGATGAGATGGCTCTTTCCAAATTTCAAATGAATCAAAAGTTCACCAAGTTCTTGTAGATAATGTTTAGGAACATGGTTGCACAGACTGTACTTACATACTTGTGAATATTGATGTTGCTCTGTGTTCCCACATGTCGCTACAATTAACATTGGACTAGTCTAAACATGGACTTCCATTTATTGGAATCCTATTTCAAATTCAGATAAAAATACTGCAATTCTTAAAATTAATGAAACATAAGTATGATAACTACACTGCATTCTAATCAGAGTCTGCAGACAAATCATTGAAACACAATAAAACGGGATTTGTTTGTTATGTCCAGAATTGTACCCCTTTATAATCACTGAACATAGCGCAGATTATTACATATACATATATATTAAGTTTTAGTGCAAATTGATCCCTACTTATTAACTGAGATAGCTCACTTTGATGGGTAATAGGCTCCAGATCACGAACATCCCCATTGAAAATGAAGACGGCATATGTACAAAAGGATGATTTAAAATGAAGATAGCACTTTGTACTTGGTAGAAAAGAAAAACTTTCACTGTACATGCTTATCTCATACTGACATGATGATATAATGAGAAAGGCAGATTCACCCTTTGGGGTTGATCTGATGTTGATGGCTAGATGTTGGCCATTCTATGTCTGTAAACATTGCCCACAACAGATATCTGTATCCCAAGTCTACAGATAAGAGGAGGGGAGCACCAGTCAATTACTCTGTTGTTTAACTGGGCCTACTGCTGACCTGCTGAACTTTCAGAATAGGGCAAATTTGTATTTGGAATGTCATTTCAGAAGGTCAAGGTCACAGATACAATGAACTTAACTTTACAAATAGTTGTGCTGTGTAAAAATTA